CAAACCACAAGGGCCTCTGTTTTGCATATATAATTAACTGTGTATGCACCCCTAGTTTCTAACATCTGCAAGGAATGGAATACCTGAGGTTCTTTCCTGCTCTCTGGTTTTAAAAATTAGATTGTTACCGTCGCATACTTTCCCAACTCCAGAAAAAGAAATCTCAAAAACAAGCCTATTCACTTACTTATTTGTTCTGCTACATAACTAAAACTTCTTCCATAAAAAGAAAAAACTAATCTTCTGAGCTATGATTAACAGTTCAGGAAGGATTAAAAGTCCAAAGCAAGGGGATTTTCTAACTGTTCATTAAATTAGGTACAGAGGGCCACCATTATAACTCTGCTCATTATTTTGTAGTTTTAGTTTTACCCTGGCCTAAAACATCTGTACAAAAGCATAACAAATATAAGATGATTTGGCAGCTTGCTGTGGGTATTAGTCCTTTCCCTGGACACCTAAAGAGGTATCACTGGTTATTTAGTCAAAGCAGACATTCCCTCAGGACAATTTTCCCACAACTGTACCTTTGTACATATCATTTTCTAGCCCTCCCTTTCCCTATCTATACTTGTTGAAGTTCTACTTCTCCTTCAAGGCCCAGCTAAGGGGCCACCTCTTCCATAAAGCTTTTTAGAATCCTCCAATACCAGAAGTCATCTTTGCCTCCCCAAATTCTCACCATATTTAGTTTCTCTTTTCTGCACTCACAACACCCTCCTTTTGCTATATCACTGTGTGTATGTACCTTATCCTCACCTGCCAGATTACAGTTTCCATTAGAGAAGGAGGTGCCTTGTGTATCTTATTTATAGATCTAGTCATATTATTCCACTGATCAAAAATCGTCCTCTAGAACAATTTGGAACTATTCCCAAAGGACTGTAAAACTGTGCATACCCTCTGACCCAGCAATACAAACCACTAGTCTGTATCCCAAAGAGAGCAAAGAAAATAGAAAAGGACCTTTTGGTATAATAATATTTATAGAAGGTCCTTTTGTGGTTGCAAAGAATTGGAAATCAAGAGAATGCTTCTCAATTGGGGAATGACTAAACAAGTTGTGGTTTATAATTGTTATGGAATACTCATGTTATAAGAAATAATGAACAGAATGATCTTTAAAAAAAACTGAGAAGACTTATATGAATTGGTACAAAGTGAAGTGAACAGAACCAGGAGGACATTGTACACAGTAAAAGTAATATTGTATGATGATCAACTGTGAATGCCTTAGGTACTCTGATTAATTCAATGATCCAAGACAATCCCCAATGATGCATGATGAAAAATACCACCTCAAGAGAGACAATTGACAGACTCTTAAGTACAGATTGAGGCATACGTTTTTTCATTTTCTTTATCTTTCTTATTTTACTTTTTGCAACATGGCTTATATGGAAATATGATTTGCATGATTTCATATGTATAATTGATATCATATTGTTGGCCTCCTCAATGGATGTGGGAAGGGCTAGAGGGAAGAAGAGAATTTGGAACTCAAAATTTCAAAAAACGAATGTTGAGAATATTTTTTTAAAAATCATCTACAATTTCATATTACCTATAAAGTAAAGTTCAAACATTTTTGCATGGCATTTAGACCCTCTAAAATCTAGTACTACCCTACCTTTCCCTCCACATTTTTGTGTTCCATAAAGTTCTTCCACAATATTGTTTATTCCACAAAACTGTATCACAATTGGGATAAATATTATGGCCCAAACATGCCCTATGGTAAAATAATTCTGCCTCTGCTTTGACTATTGGTTATGTCTATCCATCATTTAAAGCCCAATTCAAATGCTACCTTCTCCAGGAAGCCTTCCCTTATACATACACATACACATATACACACACACACATACATACACACACATACACACTCACACCAATTGGTAATAACCTATGTATTCAGATTTCACATAGACTTGGTTTTGTGCCTCTCTAATAATACTTACCATGTAATATTGTGTGCTATACCTATGGTATACTGGTAAGTGTTTAACAACCAACTCTTGGGGAGGAGGGTTATATACAAGACCATTTTAAAGTTTTCTCCATCACTTTCTCAAGTCTAGAAAATCAGCAAAATAATAAATCAAGTCCTATTTGTAACATTTGCTGACTTCTGAGATAGAAATGGTCCCCTGAAAATTTAACAATCAGCTCTTGAGAGCCAATTAGATCTGGATCCTTCCCACCCCTGGCATACCTATCTATGTGGGCATCCCATTTTTGTTCTAGACTATAAGCCCCTTGAAGACAGGTATCATGACATCTAAACTTTATATCTATATTTTCATGTTCCATCTTCCCTGTGTCTAAGAGTCTGTACTTTATGATACTTAATAAATGTTTGCTTAATTAATATTTCTTAGGGTGGATATCTATTCATTCTCAGTTTTAGTAGTGTCTCTTCCCTATACCTGGAAGTTAAAGGGTTAACAACTATAACTAATTTATCTTTAAATAGCAGTGTGGTTGTATAGCTATTTCTAAGCATTTATCTCTAATCAATAAAAATGTGCTCAAGGCTGAACTCTTAGAAAATATATATGATTAAGTACCAAATGTACTCTGTGGCCATCTCTGTGCCTTGTGGCTGCCTGCTCATGGCTTATTATCTGATCAGGAGAGGCTCTTCAGCACTTTTTGTGGTAGAAGAAAATTCAGGCTCTAAGTCTGGACTTGGAGTATTAAATACCATTATCCGGTAAAAGGGCAGTAAATGGAAAAAGTAGTCAATAGTCCAGATCTTTTCCCATCAGTCTGAGATTCTGAAATTGAGGTGGGTATCATCACTTCACTCCTGCTGCATTCATCTTTTTGTGAGGAAGACAGATCTTTTGGTATAGGGATTTTTTGCCCCTCCTGAAACATCTGGATTTCTTTGTGGATAGTCAATTTAAAAACAACTAGGTCTGTAGGATATTATTGCGGGGGGGACATATCCAATTCCATGCCATTGGTTCCTACAGACTTAACAAGAATGGAAATCTGGGTTATGGAAAGTCCTCCAGGCTTTAGAGACATATAGCCACTTTTCACTCTGTCGTCTCATCCTAAAATAATGCTAGCTGCCACTGCTGTTGTTTGCTTTTTTTTGATGAAATGACAACATGTGGACATTCTTGAGTATTTTCCCGGCCATATCTTGTTCAGGACTGCAGTATATTAATGGGACGTTAAATGTCTACCCCTGCCCGCAGTTATTATGTCATAGAGAGCTCATTTAACTTCTGTGTACTGCTGGCATGTGTCATTTGAGAAAAACCAGGTATGCAGATGTCCCAGTAGACAACAGGGAATGAAAATAACAGTTATAATAATGATAATGATGATTATGATGATGATGACAATTTAAGATTTATAAAAGTTCTTTACATTTATTTTTTCATTTGATTTTCACCACAACCCAATAAGGTAGGTGTTATTATTATCCCCATTTTACAGATGAAGAAAAAGAGGCTGAGAGAAATTAAATGACTTGCCAGAGGCACACAGATAATAAGTGTCTGAGGTAGGATTTGAACTCATATTGCATTATCTGGCTATACTAGCTATGCCAAAAAAATTTCTAGGTTGCAACCTGATCACCAATCTTCCCATTTTTTTGGACTCAGGATTTCAGTATCTTTAAGAGAATTTCCATTTCTCTTAGTAAGCATTCACATTGTAAATGCCCTTATTTCTGACTTTGGGTTGGGGGAGCTACAGTGGAAAGAGTACTTGCTCTGGACTGAGAGGACTTCATCAGCTCAAATCTCATCTCTGGTACTTGCTACCCATATGACCCTAAGTATGTCACTTAACTTCTCTAGCCCTCAATTTCCTCCTCTGAAGAATGACAGAGTAGGACTATATGCCTTTGCAGCCCTCTTTAGCTTTAGACCACTAATTTATAAATCAAACAAACCATTCATTCATTCCTTCATCCATTCATTTATTCTGTGAAGATTCATAGAGGTAACTACCAAGACCTTCAGCTACATGAGTTTTTTAAAGGTTTTATCGGTGGCTTTTCTTTTCATATAACAACTATTTTCTAATATACACCTCCATCACTGAACCTCACTCTCTGTAACATAACTACGAGAATGTCTGAGCACATGCTCTCTCTGTATAGGTAGTTCCTTCACCTTTCCACCAAGAGAAGGGAAACTTATTCTTTGGGACCAAGATTGGTTATCACAATTAATCGGAGTTCAGCTGTCTCTTAATGTGGTTTTTGTTTACCTTTGGGCAGTTAGGTGGTACAGTGGATAGAGCACTGGGCCTAGAGTCAAGAAAACTCATCTTTCTGAGTTCAAATGTGGCCTTAGACCCTTGCTAGTTCATGTGACCCTGGGCAAGTCACTTAACTCTGGTTGCCTCTATTTCCTCATCTGTAAAATGAGCTAGAGGAGGAAATAACAAACCACTGCAGTATTTTTGCCAAGAAAACCTCAAATGGGGTCACAAAGAATCAGACATGACTGAACAACAATGAAATCATTTACATTATTGTCGTTACTATGAATATTATTCTCCGGGTTCTGCTTACATGAGTGTAATGCAATAATACTGACTAAACACTTGGATTGTGGTTAAGGCCTACATGGCGGTAGATATGGAAATGACTCTAAAAAGGCAAATAAGAGAGCCCTCCTGTAACACATCTTTCTATTTGCAAAAAGCACCATACATGACTGGGAGATTTATGTCTGGACTAAATAGACCAGTCAGTGCTGTTCTCACAAAGAAGCACTTTTGATTTCAGCTTCAGTGGTCTAAAACTAAATGCCAGAATGACTGATGATACCAAGCACTTAGGCCAAGGCAACTTCTTCAAGGCCTGCTGGCAGAGCTTGAGAGATCACTTCATAACTACAAAAATCTTTGTCTTCAGGAGTTTCTCCCTAGGTTAGAGGAGAGAGATGGGTGACTTACTTGAGCGCTTCCTTACACCGGGGCCCACTTTGGCACCTGGCCTCTTTTTGAGGCAGAAAGTAGGACAGGACTCCGCCTGTGCTCAAACTGCACTGAGTAAGCTCTTAGTCAAAGCAAGAATAAACAGAGAGCTTTCTTCCTTCTTCTACTGAGCCATAACTTGGTGACAAAGGTCCTTAACCACCCAGCTTTGGCTCTGTTCTCATCATGCATCTTACCCAGCTATTGCCCTGAAAGATAGATTGATCAACTTCAGATGACAGAAAGCATAGACCTGCTAACTGCAGATATAGTATAAAACCTTCAGCATTAGTCCTGTTAGAATCCTATGCATATACTGGAAATGCCACAGGGTGACTGCACTGAGCTTTCTGCTGAGGCTTCAGGGCTCCCACCATGTCCAACTGGGTACAGTTGAAGAACTTGGGCCACAGATCTCCCTAAAGGTAAGATATGGTTCTAGACTTTTTGAATTCCACCAAAGCTAACAGCTCCTTAAGAAATTTCTCCTCAAATTCTCTATTTTGGCTAAAATATATATTGGCAGAAAAATATTTCTCTCAAATCTCCTTAGCAATGATAGAAACTCTTTGGTTCTTGGTGGAATTAATTGTATACAGGGGCAAAATGAGCTATTACAACTAGAATGTTGCTTGTGTTCCTACTATCTTTTTCCAGAGGCAAAACAGCAATAGCTTCAAGATCGAAAGATTTGCTGTAAACATGCAGGCTGAATTGGCAGTATTTTCCTTGAAACACGGGGAACATAAGTCTCACACTTTCTACACATTTATCTACCATCATGCTACCACTCAGTACCAGCAAAATCTGTTTCTTAATAAGTCATATGTCCTTGATTAAGCGTCCAAACTCATCATGGAGTAGTAGACTGCTTAAAGTATAACATGATCATCGAGGAAAATGCTTTGGATAGCAGCAACTACTCCCTGGCACTGCTCATGGAATCAGTTAACATCTGGTTAAAGGATTCTGTTGTATAGATCAAAGCTCTGTCATTGTCTCAACAGTAAAGCTCTGGCGACAGAGGAACTGGGTTCAGATCTCCCACTGATGCTTATTACTTGTGTGACATTGGACAAGTCACTTAACTTCACTGGATTCAGCTTCCTCAGCTATAAAATTTGGGAGTTGGAGGTGATGACCTCTGAAATCCCTTATAGTTTTAGGTGTATGATTTTTTCATCCTGACTGGTCACACCCTTCCTTTTGGACTTTTATCATTTCTCACTAGGTTGTTCCCACCCCCAGTCACATGAGTACAACTGAGGCAAAGAATATTAGTTCAGTTCAACACAGTTTATAAATACTGATGGAATACTCTCTAATGGAAGTTCCAGGCTCTCATCTATACTCTCATGTGACAAAGGTTTTTCTCCCTTCATGTCATGGATTGTCTTCACTCCTAGTGACATTAGCATAGCTTGGGATTCAAATGGCCTTATAGGCAGGGTCACTATATGCACATTAACCTCTCTTGGCTACACATACACACACACACACACACACACACGTGCGTGTGTATACATATATGCATGTATGTATGTGCACATATGTACATATGGGTATTGTGTGAGTATGCACACACACATGTGTGTGTATGTGTGTGTGTGTGTGTGTGTGTATATATATATATATATATATGTATTTGTGTAGATAGTGCATGCTGACTTCGTGTTTGGCTGTTACTGCTGCCTATCTCTAGCAGGCAGTATCCAATTTCACATTGATCAAAATTCAAATCAGTAGAAAGTTGTTGGTCCATGATTAGAACTAAAGCCATCTAAGCATTGGCATTTGACTTGGAAGATAACAATCTTATGAGATAGTAGTATTAAAAGTTTTGTTTCCACCTAACAAGAGAAAAATGAAACCCAGAGAGGGTAAGTGACTTATCCACAATCACATAAATTATATATATGAGATCTAGGACTCAAACTGACATTTCTCATTCCAAATCCATTGTTCCTTCCACTTTACCACGATGAATTTTTAGATATTGCTGCATCCTCAGTATAGAATATGTGAGATTCTATTGGCTCAAGAACAAACTCCCATCAAAGAGAAATGGAAACTGTGAAGAGAATAAATAATGAGAACTATATGATTATTTTTTAAATTTTACATTTATAAAATTCTTTGAGTTTCACTATGGATTTTTCTCAAAATAAGTCTGTTTGATAGGTGACACAAATATTGTTATCTATACATTACAGATGAAGAAACTGAGTGTCAGGAAGTTCAAGTGGCCTATGAGAATTTATCTTATAGTTTATTATTTTGACATTTGACTACCTACTAAATGAAGTCTAAAATTTGTTTCTTTGATTTTAAACTTAGGATTCAAGAACCTCTACAATCTATCTCCAACCTACATTTCCATCTTTATCCCTGACTATTCCTCATCATGTGTCCCACTATCCATAACACTGGACTGTTTTTCTGGAAGTTCCCCAAGCATGCACCACTTGTTTTACAGAATCTCAAGAAATGAAAATGACCTCAAAGGCCATCTAGTCCAACTTGAAATCTCTACAGGAACCCATTCTTCTCCTTATCAGGCAATGAGTGGTCATCCACAAGTTTTTTGCTTGAAAACTTCCAGTAAATGGGAACCCACAATCTTCAGAAGCATATCATTCCACTTGGGAGATTTACAATTGTTAGGACATCAGGCTGAAACTTGCCACCTTATAACTTCCGCCAGTTGCTGCTAATTCTCCCTGCTGGGGCCATACAAAGTTTGATCCTTCTTCCACATAACAACCCTTCAAAAATACTTTTAGATAGCTATTATGCCTGACCCTTCCTCCACCCAAGTCATTTCCATGATTCAATTGTTCACAAATAAGCTACACTTTCAGAATCACTTTGTGCCTTTTTCTTGAGTTGCAAAATTTGTTATGGTTATTGAATTAGTATATGAAAATGCTGTCATAAAATAATCTCCCCTCAAAATAATATCCTTCAAATTTTAGCTCTTTGAACTTACTTAAAAATAATTTGACAGTGTCCCAATTTCAAATGTCTTTGTAGCTTATTGTATTCATTACTTCAGCTCATTCAGGTTCTGGATGACTTATTTCTATTCCAAGAGGAGCCTGTATAAGTATTGTCTAAGCATACTAATAACTGTTGACCTGATTCTCTCATCTCTATGTCTATGTAACTTCCATTAAATCAAAATATCTTTCTAAAATGCCTTAACCTTGAGAATTCATGAGCTGTTCATATGGGAATAGTTCAAATCTCCAAAATGATTACTTTTTAGTTGTTATTATTATCTCCCTCTCATAATAAATAGAACCTACAATCCACATTTTGAATTTATATTTTCATGAAGAAACTCTTGGAAAAGTTGAAATGGCCCAACTGGAAAAATGTTCTAATTCTTCGGTTTATCCAGGTGGATAATCTCAAGAAACTCCAGACAGTGAGTAATAGATTGAACCACTTTTTTTCTTTTAGGAATATTTTGATGTTAACAAACACCAGAAAATGCAAATGCTTCTAAATACTCCAAATAACAGAAAAAGAAAATTATACATGAAACTAAATTTCTATTATACACACCTTGCTTTTTCCCCCCAAATGCCAATAGTTTTTATTTGTTCAGTCCCCTTGTTCATATCCTTAAAAGGGGCTAAGAATATTCTTTGTTTTTCTAATATACTTTATTTTTTCCAATTACATGTAAAAACAATTTCAACATTCTTTTTTTTTTAAATTTTGAGTTTCAAATTCACTCCCTGTTTCTCTCCTCTCTCTCCCTTGCTGAGAAAGCAAGCAATTGTATATAGGTTATACATGTGCAGTGATGCAATACATATTTCCATATTAGTCATGTCATGAAAGAAAACACAGACAAAAAAAACTTACACACAAATAAAGAAAGTAAAAAATAGTATGCTTTGATCTGTACTCAGATTCCATCAATTTTTTCCTCTGGGCATAGATAGCATTTTTCATTAAAAGCCCTTTAGAATTATCTTGGTTCTTTGTACTGCTGAGAATAGCTAGGTCATTCACAGTTGATTATCATATGATATTGCTATTACTGTGTATAATGTTCTCCTGGTTCCACTTATTTCACTTTGCATTGGTTCATGTACATCTTTCCACATTTTTCTGAAAGCATCCAGCTCATCATTTCTTGTAGCAAAACAGTATTCCATCACAATCATATACCACAACTTGTTCAGCCATTCCCCAGTTGATGGACATCCCCTCAATTTCTAATTCTTTGCCACTACAAAAGAGAACGTCTATAAATATTTTTGTACATATAAAAGTCCCTTTCTTCTCCTTTTTAAAAATCTCCTTGGGATAGAGACCTACTAGTGGTATTACTAGGTCAAAAGGTATGAACAGTTTTATAGACCTCTGGGTATAGTTCCAAATTGCTCTCTAGAAGAGTTGGGTTGGTTGTCAACTCCACCAACAGTGCTTTAGTATCCCAATTTTTCCACTTCCCCTCCAACATTTGTCATTTTTTTCTGTCATATTAGCCAATTTGATAGGTGTGAGGTGGTACCTCAGAGTTGTTTTAATTTGCATTTCTCTAATCAATAGCAATTTAGAACATTTTTTCTTATGACTACAGATAGCCTTAATTTCTTTGTCTGAAAACTGCCTGTTCACATTTTTGACCATTTATAAATTGGAGAATGACTTGTAGTTTTTACAAATTTGACTCAATTCTCTATATATTTGAGAAGTGAGGACTTTATCAGAGAAACTTGCTATAAAAAATTTTCCCCAGTTTTCTGATTTCCTTTCTGCATTGCGTTTGTTTGTGCAAAACCTTTTTAATTTAATGTAATAAAAATTATACATTTTACATCCTGTAATGTTCTCTATCTTCTGTTTGGTTATAAATTCTTCATTATCTATAAGTCTGATAAGTAAACTATTCCATGGTCCCCTAATTTGCTTAGGGTATCACCTCTTTATGTCTAAATCATGTACCCAATTTGATTTTATCTTGGTATATGTGTAAGATGTTGCTCTATACTTAGTTTCTGCCAAAATGCTTTCCAGTTTTCCCAGAAGTTTTTGTCATATAGTAAATTCTTGTCCCAAAAGCTGGTATCTTTGCATTTATCAAACTCTAGATTACTATGGTCATTTAATACTGTGTATTGTGTACTCAATCTATTCCACTCGTCCACCAACTCCATCTCTTAGCCAGTATCAGATTATTTTGATGATTGCCACTTTATAATACAGTCTGAGATCTGGTATGGTGAGGCCACCTTCCTTCACAATTTTTTCCCATTAATTCCTCTGATCTCCAGGACCTTTTGTTCTTCCAGATGAATTTTGTTACTATTTTTTCTAGCTCTGTAAAATAACTTATTTGGTAGTTTGATGGCATGGCACTGAATAAACAAACTAATTTAGTTAGAATTGTCATTCTTATTACACTGGCTCAGGCTACCTAGAACCATTTTTAACCTTTTGAATCTTGAATGAATTCCAGAGTGCTTAAAGTCAGGCTGGTTCTTTTTCCTTCTCTCACACAATACCTCAAATAAAGATAAGTGATTATTCTTTGAAATGTGGGCCATAGGACAGGAAAATTATGCCCATTGGAAATCAGTTTGCAAAAAATGAGTTTTCCCTGGGGGATTGTTCTGCTATTTAACTGATATTCTTATAGACTTCAGAAATGTACTTAGAAAAGGAGGTAAGTCAATCGTATACCAAAAACAAGAGATAATGTGGAACCAGCTGAATGTAACATGGTAACCATATGTTAAAACACTGAGAGAAAGGCCATCAGCACTTTGAATGGATTCTTTATGGAGAATTTATAGACAAAAATTACATGGCATAAAAAGAAGTAGATTAATTGCAAGTGCTAAGCACAGTTCCTGGCACACAGTAGGTGCTTAAGAAATGTTTAATTGATTAGGGGAAACTGTACTATTAGAGGGAGTACCACCTTAATGAGATTATTAACCCATTCAAGCTTTCAAGTAAGTACTGAGAAAGGACTTGTAAATATGTAGTGATTCTTGCTTCTCTTAGAATCTACTGAAGTATTATCAGGATCTCTAATCTTCAAGGGAAAGTATCATTCCAATGTTTTAAGACTGAAAAAAACTTTGGTGCTACATAGTTCTTGTGTAACATTATATGAAGAATTACAAAGTCCCAGAGATGGGGCTAGTAAGGCAACTTGCAGGTCAGGGAGTACAAACAGACATTGAATCTTCTTGTAATTAAGTTGAAGAATTATAGGAATCTCATGTCTTTTCCTAGTTATAAACCTTCTATAAATACATTGCAACTGTTCTAATTTCAATCCTATGCATGGTCTATTCTAATATTATAGAAACTAAAACTAATATTATAAGAGTAAAAGATAAGGAAATCTCTACACAGTATTAAAAAGGAGATACAAGCTCATTTAAATCATAATGCACTCCACCATCTAATGCATTAAACACCCTGAGAAGAGATGTTAATTTCATATTCAACAAGTAGCCATACTTTCATAGAATCTGTGTAACAATGGTGATTTTATTTCAATGTACCTGAATGATCACATTAGTAGCTTTCATGTTCCTTTAACAAAACTATTTATTTGGAAGTAAATTGAATATTCACTTGACAGTAATGTTATAAAGAGAATTTATGCTTCAGATAGATAATCTCCAAGATCCTCCCTGACATTCTATAACAATGATAGCTTACATTTGTAATCAATTCAACAGATATTTATAAAGCACTTTCTAACCTAATATTTGCAAGTCACTTCATTGTGGGAATACACAGATGAATTTTTTTTTAAATCCCTGCCTTCAAGGAGGACACCTATGTAGGCATTATTATCTCATTTTATACATGACAAAGTTGAGGCTTTGGAGATGTTAGATAACTTCATAGAATTATAGGATTTCAGATTTGGAAAGAATGTCAATGATCATGTAGTCTAACCCTTACCTAACCAAGAATCCACAGGACAAAACTTGGTAAATGGTCATGCAGTCTTTACTTAAAGATCTCCCATCAAGAAGAATTCCACTTTTGGACAGTTCTAATTATTAGAAAGTTTTCTCCTATGACAAATCTAAATAAACTACTTTGCAGCTTCCACACATTGATCCCAGCTATATCTTCTGGGCCAAGCAGAAAAAAAATATTTAATTCCTAATTCACATGACAGTTCTTAGTCTATTTTTCCTTGATCATCAATCAATTAATCATTAAACACTTATTAAGAGCATACTATACATCATGCACTGTGCTAAGAGCAGGAGATATAAAAAGACAGGTCTTGCCCTCAATGAGCTTACAATCTAATAGGAATGACCACATAAAAATAGGTACAAGGCAAGCTATATACAGGATAAATAAGAAATAATTAACAGAGGGAAGGCATTTGAATTAAGAAGGGTTGGGGAAGGCTTCCTATAGAAGATAGGATTTTGTATTGAGTCATTTTTAGTTATATCCAACTCTTCATGATCCCTTTTGGGGTTTTCTTGACAACAATACTGGAGTGGTTTGCCATTTCCTTCTACAACTCATTTCTATAGATGAAAGACTGAAGCAAACAGGGTTAAGTAACTTGCCCAGGGTTACACAGCTGAGGCCAGATTTGAGCTCACAAAGATGAGTCTTTCTGTTTCCTGGCACTGTGCTCTACCCACTGCACAACCTAGATGCCCAGATAAGATTTTAGTTGAGACTTAAAGGAAGCCAGGGAGGTTGGTAGTCAGAGTGGAAGAGGAAAAGCATTCCAGGCGTGGGGGACAACCAGAGAAAATGCCTGAAGCTTAGAGATGGAATATCTTTTTTGTGGAACAGCCAGAAAGCCAGTATCACTGGATTGAAGAGAATATGATCACTTGACATGTGACAGTTATAACCAGCATTTGACATTGTTGGTTAGAACATGTCTAAGTGACTGGTCAGATAGGTGGCACAGTGGATAGTGCTCTGGGCTTGGAGTCAGAAAGACTCATCTTCCTGAGTCAAATCCAGCCTCAGATACTCCCTGGCTGTGTGACCCCAGGCAAATCATTTAACCCTGTTTACTTCAGTTTCCTTATCTATAAAATGATCTGGAGAAGGAAATAGCAAACCACTGTTGTACCTTTGCCAAGAAAACCCCAAATGATGTTGCAAAGAGTCAGACATGACTGAAAAATGAACAACAAATGTAACTATGGAATAGCCACACTACCTTACCACATGACAGACAGCATGCAATTTGTGGCCTTAATGGCACTGATTATATCAAAAAAAGGCCATGATCTAGTCACCCCATAGTTTGGGTAAGGGTCAGTATATGTGCTTTGAAGGA